CACAGAGAGCTAAGCAACTTGTGCTGAGTATCACAGCTAGTAGCCAAGCTTCAGATCGAGGCAGTCAGGTTCCATACTCCATTCTTTTGATCACCATGCTGTGGGGAACACTTAACTCACTGATGGCACAGATACATTGTGAGCCTTCAACAAATTTCAATAATAAAGGTGATATATAATAATAATAAATAATACTATATAAAGTTATATAATTCATCAGAGAAAATACGTATAAACTAAGTCAAGGAAGAATATAGATATCTTCAGTCTAACTCCTCAGAAAGTAAATGTGTTGGTATTTATGTACCTATTCATATACTTTAAGAAAATAAAAATTTTGTAAACTATTTTGGTCATGTGTTAATATAACATTAACTTTTTTTTTTTTTTTAAATTGTACTTATTTATTTGACAGAGAGACACAGCGAGAGAGGAAACACAAGTGGGATAGTGGGAGAGGGAGAAGCAGGCTTCCCGCCGAGCAGTGATCCCGATGTGGGGCTCAATCCCAGGACCCCAGGATCACAACCTGAGCCGAAGGCAGATGCTTAACGACTGAGCCTTCTTTATGCTTAGTTTGATTCATAACCTCCTGGTTTTTAAAAAATTTTATGAATTTTTTTATTTTAATTCCAGTATAGTTAACACGTAGTGTTATATTAGTTTCAGATGTACAATATAGTGATTCAACAATTCTATACATTACTCAGTGCTCATCATGATAAGTGTAGTTTTAATCCCCATCACCTATTTCACCCATCGCCCCACTCACCTCTCCTCTAGTAACCATCAGTTTGTTCTCTATAGGTAAGAATCTATTTCTTGGTTTTTCTCTCTCTTTTTTAAATTTTTAAAAAAAATTTTATTTGAAATAGAGAGAGAGAGCATGAGCTGGGGGGGGTGGGAGGAGGGGCAGAGTGGGAGGGAGAAGCAGGCTCTCCACTGAGCAGGGAGCCTGATATGGGGCTCGATTCCAGAACCCTGGGATCATGACCTCAGCTGAAGCTTAACCAACTGAGCCACCCAGACTCCCCTCTCTTTCTTTTTCTTTGTTTGTTTTGTTTCTTAAATTTCACATGAGTGAAATCATACGGTACTTTTCTTTCTCTGGCTGGCTGACTTCGTTTAGCATTATATTCTAGCTCTATCCATGTCATTGCAAATGGCAAGATTTTATTATTTTTGTGGTTAAATAATATTCCATTGTACATATACCTATAACATTTTCTTTATACATTCAGGTATTGATGGACATTTGGGCTGCTTCCATAGTTTGGTATCATAAATAATGCTGCAATAAACATAGGGGTGCAGATATCCTTTCGAATTAGTGCTTTTATATTCTTTGGGTAAATAAATAATAGTGTGATTACTCGACTGTAGGGTAGTTCTATTTTTAATTTTTTGAGGAACCTCCGTACTGTTTTCCACAGTGGCTGCACCAGTTTGCATTCCCACCAGGTTCCTTTTTCTGCACGTCCTCACCAACACTTGTTTTCTGTGTAACCTCCTGTTTTAATGTACAAAATGGGGTATTGCTTGTCATCTTTCTCCAGACTTGGTATCCTTTTGGAAGTAGGCTAAGGAATTCTTTTGAGTCATTCGTAGACACTTCTCCAAAGAAGACATCAGGATGACCAACAGACACATGAAAAGATGCTCAACATCACTCATCATCAGGGAAATGCAAATCAAAACCACAGTGAGCTATCACCTCATACTAGTCAGAATGGCTAGTATCAAAAAGACAAGAAATAACAAATTGGCAAAGATGGGGAGAAAAGGGAGCCCTTGCTTGCTGTTGATGGGAATGTAAATTGGTACAGCCATTATGGAAAACAGTATGGAGTTGTCTTAAAAAAATAAAAATAGAAAAAAAGTAGAAGTACCATATGATCCAATAATTCCATCACTTAGGTATTTACCCAAAGAAGATGAAAACAGTAATTTGAAAGATTTATGTACCCTTAGGTTTATTGTAACATTATTTACAGTAGCCAAGATATGGATACAACCTAGTATCCTTTGATAGGTAAATAGATAAAGATGTGGTGTGTAAACACACACACACAGACACACACAGCAATATTTTTTCTTTTTAATAAAAAAGATTTTATTTATTTATTTGAGAGAGTGAGAGAGAGAAAGCTGGAGCAGGGGGAGGGGCAGAGGGAGAAGCAGACCCCCTGCTGAGCAGGGAGCCTGATGTGGGGCTCCATCCCGGGACACCAGGACACTGGGATCATGACCTGAGCCCAAATCAAGAGTTGGCCGCCACTTAACCGACTGAGCCACCTAGCCGCCCCCCACACAGCAATGTTACTCAGCCATAAAATGAATGAAAACTCTTGCTGTTCATTATAACATGGATAGACCCAGGGGATATTATATTAAGTGAGATAAGTCAGACAGAGAAAGACAAATACCATATGATTTCACTTACATGTGGAATCTGAAAAACAAAACAAAAACAGAAACAGACTCAAATACGTAGAACAAATATGGTTGCTGGAGGGGAAACAGGTGGAGAATGGACTAAATGGGTTAAGGTGATTAAGAGGCACAAACTTCCAATTAGAAAATAAATAAGTAACAAGGATGAAAAGTATGACATAGGGTATATAGTCAATAGTATTGTAATAACTATATGGTAAAGATGGTAACTATACCTATCATGGTGAACATTACATAATGTATAGAATTGTTGAATCAATATATTGTACTGAAACTAATATGACATTGCATGTCAGTTATACTTGAATTAAAAAAAACAAAACTCCCTATATCTAAGCTTAGGACTCTTACAGAGGAATTTTTTATTGACATTGGCAAGAGGGAACTCTGGCTCCAAGGATTTTCAGGAGAAAAAGTTAATCACTGGCCACGAACAAAAGGAGTTGGGTTTTTTGGTTTTTTTTTTCACTTTTTTCCTCATGTAGACTTTATGGCCAATATGGATCTACTCTTGCAATAGCCAAAATTTATAGTGTTCAAATAAAAAGCAGAATATCAGGATGTAATTGTAAGGAGATGCAAAGATGCATAAGGCATGGCTCTTACTAACTTGGTTGTCCTAATAGAGTTAGCATATGTTGTGAAATAGATGATCTTAACTGTGGTCATGGTAATACAAAATGCTCTGAAGTGTTTTTTTTTTTTTTTTAAGATTTTATTTATTTATTTAACTGACAGAGAGAGAGAGACAGCTAGAAAAAGAACACAAGCAGGGGGAGTGGGAGAGGGAGAAACAGGCTTCCCGCCAAGCAGGGAGCCCGATGTGGGGCTCGATCCCAGGACCCTGGGATCAGGACCTGAGCTGAAGGCAGCCTTTTAATCAACTGAGGCACCTAGGTGCCCCAATGCTCTGAAGTTTTTAAAGGAACCCACAGACTCCCTTAATGCCCTCAAACCTTGGCAATAAAGAGAAGATCCTCACATTCAGGAATGTAAAGTCTTATAACTCAGATATGGTTCCCTTCATCTATACCTACCCTTTAGGAATGTCTCTCCAGACATTTCTGCCATCCATGTTCTGTACTCTGGCCCAAATCTGGACCATTACCCTTCACTTTATTCTCCAAAGCCTTGCCAAGACCAGGTTTTGATCCTTAAACACATCTTTTCTAAAAGCTTGGAAATTACAAGGAAGTAAACACAGAAACAATTATCAACTAGATAATCTGACTCACTTGCTATGGCTTTGTTCTCTAGGTCCTGTAGGCTTGTCTCATCTTCACAGAATTTTGGAAGAGCAGGAGCTCATAGTTCTGTAGGGCTGCCTGCCTTTACGACCTCTGGCCTTCTCTACCAACAGGCACCTCCAGGCTTGACTTTCTGAAATCCAAAGCCAAGGAAGAAAAAAATATTCCCTTTCTTTTTAAACTAAAGCCATCTTTCAGCTTTCCAGCTCTTACTTCATGACAGATTGTTTCTGGATAATTGTGGAGACTCCACCCTCTGCCCACTGGAGTGTTTCCTTGTTCTTTAACCCCAAAATACAATTCATAAAGATGAACATTTTTTTAATTTTTATTTATTTATTTGAGAGAGACAGACAGAGGGAGAGTAAGAGGGAAAAGCAGACTCCCTGCTGAGCAGGGAGCCTGATGTGGGACTGGATCCCACAACCCTGAGGTCCTGACCTGAGCCGAAGGCAGACATTTAACTGATTGAGCCACCTAGGTGCCCCAGGAATGAACATTTTTATATAAAATGGAATTGGAACAAAATTTGCTAAAAGATCTTAAAAATCATAGCAAAAGAGTATTGATATTTTATTGATTACTCTTAAAACTTTAGTTTCCATTTATATTTCTTCAGTACCCCCCGGAGAGTCTTTTAGTCACAACAAAATATTCAGGCTTACAAGATTACCATGGGCCATATTGGCATTTATCTCCTAGAAGGATACAGTCCAGACACAGCTGCAGCTCCAGGCATCCCTTTTCAGGGGAGTAGTCCTCATGGGAGTGGGTATAGCAGTCCGAAGGTTTTCTGCCTACCCCTCCCCCTCCAAGTCACAGTTCAGGTGCAGGGAAACTATCCATATTGGGCAGATCGGGGAGCCACTGTGGCTTAGAAGCCTCAGGTAGCACAATTGCCAATATTGCCTGTAAAAGCTTTATTGGTGTAGATTCCAGGATCCCACAGACACCTACCTTGAGTCATTGCACTCAGAAGTACAAAGCTGTAGCTACCAGGTAATTGAGTAATTTTTAACATAAGCTATGTTGCCTAATAACACAGCTGACATTCGCCTTATCAGGTTTCCAAGGCAACAGAGCTAGAAAGTTAATCCAACGTAACACTTGTCTTTAGAGGAGATTTTGTTTACCTTTTATCCACAACTTTTCAAGCATATTTTTATAAAGATGATTGTTTTCAAGTTTGCCTGAAATGAATGGCTTTGAAGTAGCTTCATAATTTTCTGTCCAATATCCTTTTTCATATATGATAAATTTTAGCTTTTCTTCCTTTGACTGTTTTTCTTTTTTTGATAGGTCGAATCAAATATTCTGAACAGGTGTATGATGCGTGTATGGAGACATTTGACTGTCTTCCTCTTGCTGCCCTCTTAAACCAGCAGTTTCTGTGTGTACATGGAGGGATGTCACCTGAAATTACTAGTTTAGATGACATTAAGAAAGTAAGTAATCTTTCAGTAGTCTTATGGAGTATATGTATTTTTAGTTTTTTTTTTATTGTAGTCAACTAATATGCCTCTATTGCTGAAAATTTTTAAATACAGATAATCAGAAGTAAGAAAGTGGAAATCACCTGTGGTCTCATTATTGGGAGACAACCACTGTTAACATTTTACTAAATATCTTCCAGAAAATTCCTGTAAATTTTAATGAAATCTGTACTTTCACCTACAGGAAACATAACCTATTTTGAGTATAGCCCTGAAACTTTAAATTATGTAGCAATACAAAAGGAAGGAAATCAGGGTTCTAATCCCTGTCCTGCAATGAATTGTGTAACCTTGACCAAACCACTTAACTCTTAATCACATTTTCTTTTCTTTCTTTTTTTTTTTTAAAGATTTTATTTATTTGACAGAGAGAGAGACAGTGAGAGAGGGAACACAAGGAGGGGGAAGTGGGAGAGGGAGAAGCAGGCTTCCGGCAGAGCAGGGAGCCCGATGCGGGACTCCATCCAGGGACTCCAAGATTATGACCTGAGAGGAAGGCAGTCGCTTAACCAACTGAGCCACCCAGGCGCCCTGACTTTGACATTTTAGATGATAGAATTTAATTGCTACACTCTTGTGAGTTGGTGATTATCATTTTCAGGATTTTCTATAAAGATGATCAATCTTTTTTCACTTCTGTTGTTCTACGTTATCATCTTTTCTCTACCTTTGTATTCTTCTACCAGTCTCATGTAGATACTGAAATTAAAGATTTTTCTGTTTATAAAACTTTTCTCTGAATTAAAGTTACTCTCCTCAGGGTAAGAGGATATGCCTATATTTCTGCTGCCTTATGGTCTTTAAAATAACCAGCATTTCTCTTTTACATTGTTAAGTCTTGAATTTTGCAATTCTGAATCACTTGTATTAAAAACCTCCCCTTTCACTCAGTAGAAGTCCTCAGCTATCTTAGTTACTGGTTTTGTCTTGCTTTTTATGCTACTAACCAAAGCAGCAATGATTCAAGGCTTAAATTAATAACTTACATTGAAATGCCTGCACTGCATAGAATGGAAAGGATGAAAGTCCTTTACAAAATAAAACTAGAAATCTCCACTGGAATGAGGTAGACAATGAACAGAACAATTGTAAAACCTTTCCTGCCCTGATGGTAATGTTAGCTCACCTAGGCAGTTGAAAGGAACTTTACATAGTCTTTCTCAATAAAGACTAGGATGTAAAGCAGTCCTTTTCTACAGTATGGTTAGATGACAGGGATATTTATACAAATTTATTTCAAAAAAATAATAAAAATTGTGTATCCAAATTTGTTAAATGCTCATTTTCTTCCTAAAGGAAAAATTCTTTATGGGGCTTGCTGCTTTTTCTGCTAATATATTCTTGTTGGTGGGAGGGTTTGGTTTTGTTTTGTTTTTGACCCATACCAGTTTCCAAAAGTTCCTTTTGCCTTCATGATTTTTCTTCTTTTGGCTTTTGTGTGTTTTCTAGTTAGACAGGTTTAAAGAACCTCCAGCCTTTGGGCCAGTGTGTGACCTGCTTTGGTCTGATCCTTCAGAGGATTATGGTAATGAAAAGACCTTGGAGCACTATACCCACAACACTGTCCGAGGGTGCTCTTATTTTTACAGGTAAGCTAATCCTCAAAGTTATAAGTTAGGAAAGGGAATTGTAATATGTATCATCAAATTATTTGTAAGTACTTTATATCTCTAATTTGTGTAGTATAAAGACTTTTGTTTAATTTTTTGATTAATAGAAGGCAGAAAATTCTTATTTTGTTTTTTACATTTTAATAGGTATTATGTACCCTCATAATATATGAGTACCTTCATTAATACCTAAGTGTAATATACTGAACATGATTGAACAGAACATCTTGCAGTGATTAAATGTTATTTTCTGACCCTAAACAATCTTGATTATTTGTTCCCAAACATCATCAATGAGTTTTTTTAAAAATAAAGATTTGTTGGCTCTTCCCCCAGAGATTCTGATTCAGTGGGTCTGAGACAGGAAAATCCTGTTATTTTTTTAAAAATCTCTCCAGCGTTTGGAACCACTGCTCTAGGCCAAGATATAAAAAGAACAGGACATTGTGAACTAAGCCCAGGACATTTCCTGGAAGTTGGCTGTTGTCTTAAATCTCATATGTGAGCTTTTATTGTGTTCTACCATTCAAAAAGAGGGAGAGAGAGAAGTTTGAAGCCTAAATTTTTTTAATCCCAGTGTTTGACTGTGACAAGTTAATGCATATAGTTAGTTCAAATCTTTGTTAATTGCCTAGATAGTACATTTATTAAATGAAATCCACATATATTAAGTAAAAAGCCTTAATATTGCCATAGTTTTAACCTTCTTCTAGGCAACCTTGTTTTATTCCTTTCTGAGTTATTTAAATTTTACTTCTCTCTTTTTAAAATTTTTTTAAAAAGATTTTATTTATTTATCTTGAGAGAGAGAGAGTACATGCGCACGCTGAGCCAAAACCAAGTCAGACACTCAACTGACTGAACCCCTAAATTTTACTTCTCTTTACATTGCTTAAAATAAAGATCATAATACCTTTTTATTGTTTGCACAACAGAAACTCTATGATTTCTTTGGAGATGAGCTTGACAACATCTATTATAAATGCCCAGGGCCTTTGATCCAGAAGTTCTTCTTCTAAAGTGTAATCCTGTGGCTGTACAACTGATCCTCGTTATTTACGAATTCTGATCTTCAAATTTGCCTTCCTGTTAAGAATTACTTGTAACTGCAAAGTCACCTCTCACAGCACTGTCATGGTCATTCAGACATGCACACATGCTGAATGATGAAAAATTTGTCACCCCATGTGTCTTCCTAACCGAGGTTAACAAGGAGCTGCTTTGCTGTCTTGTTTCAGCTTTCATGCTATTACACCATTCTTTTTGTGGTCCATTTAGTACAATATTTTTCACATTTTTTGTTGGTGAGTTTGCTGTGTAAAATGGCCCCCAACATAGTGCTTAAGTGCTACCGAGTATTTCTACATGTAAGAAGGCTGTGATGTGTCTTACAGAGAAAATACATATAAGCTTTATTCGGGAATGACTTAAGGCATTGTTGTCCATGAGTCCCATGTTAATTAATCAACAGTATATGTTAAATAAGGTGTCCTTACACAGAAACACACATAAAACAAGGTTATGAATTGATCGGTTAGTGAAAATGTGACCAGAGGCTCACAGGACCCTAACTGTGTATTTTCTCTAGGAGCGGTGGTTCAGTTTTGACTAATGCTGTATTTACAAGTTAACTTTATAGAACATAGCTACTGCAAATAACAAGAATCAACTATGTAAATGTGCAGATGTGTAAAATGTATACCCTTGAACAACGTGTTTGAACTGCACAGGTCCACTTAAACACGGATTTTTTTTTTTTTATATAAATAACAGTACTAGAAATGTATTTTTTCTTGCTTAAGATTTTCTTTTCTCTAGCTTATTTTAGCGTAAGAATAAAGCATATGATACATAGAACATACAAAGTATGTGTCAATTGACTGTTATGGGTAAGGCTTCTAGTCGACAGGCCAGCTTTTGGGGGAGTCAAAAGTTACATACATGAAGGTGCCTAGAACATGTGACTTTTGATCAGGGTCGTGAGTTTAGGCCCCATGTTGGGCATGGAGCCTACTTAAAAAAAGTTATACACACAGGGCGCCTGGGTGGCTCAGTCGTTGGGCATCTGCCTTCAGCTCGGGTTATGGTCCCAGGGTCCTGGGATCGGGCCCCGAGTTGGGCTCCCTGCTCCGCAGGAAGTCTGCTTCTCCCTCTCCCACTCCCCCTGCTTGTGTTCCCTCTCTTGCTGTGTCTTTCTCTGTCAAATAAATAAAATTTAAAAAAAATAGTTATATACACAAGAAAAAGTTATACACAGATTTTTGACTGCGAGGGGAGTCAACACTCCCCACATTGTTCAAGGGTCAATGGTACAAGGTTATTCACTGGTGTATTATTTGTGATAAATTTATTTATTTTTTAAGTAGGCTCCACACCCAACAAGGAGCCCAGTGTGGGGCTTGAAGTCACAGCCCTGAGACCCTGAGATTTAGAGTGAGATACTTAACCAACTGAGCCACCAAGGTGCCCCTATGATAAAAGATTTAAAACAACCTAAATGTTTAATAGAAGAATAGTTAGTTAAATACCTTGTGGTACATTCAGACAATGGAATGTGCCAGACTATTCAAGGAGGCTATTTTTTTTAATAAAAAAAAGAAAACAAACCCTTTATGTACAGATATAAAATAAAGGCATACCTTATTTTATTGCACTTCGCTGTATTGCACTTCATAGATACTGAGTTTTTTACAAATTGAAGGTTTGCAGCAATCTTGTGTTGAGCAAATCTCTTGGGTGTTATTTTTCCAGCAGTATTTGCTCACTTCCTGTCTCTGTCACATTTTGGTAATTCTCCCAATATTTCAAATTTTTTTATATTTATTTATTTAAATTATATTTATTTATTTAAATCATCATTTAAATATGGTGATTTGTGATCTGTGATTATGACCACTGAAAGCTCAGATGATGGTTAGCATTTTCAGCAATAAGGTATTATTTTTAAGTTAAGGTATATGCATTATTTTTTTAGACATAATGCTATTGCACACTTAATAGACTACGGTATAGTGTAAGTTTAACTTTTATATGTACTGGGAAACCAAAAAATTAATTTGACCTGCTTTATTTCAATATTTGCTTTGTTGTGGTGGTCTGGAACAGAACCCACAACATCTCCAAGGTATGCCTATAGAATATCTTTTAAAGGGTACTCAAAGAAACCAGGAACATTGGTTGCTCCTAAGGTAGCTAGAAGATAGATGTAGGAAGAAGGGAGGCATTTAGGGATGCCTGGCTGGCTCAATCAGAAGAGCATGCAACTTGGGCGCCTGGGTGGCTCAGTTGGTTAAGCGACTGCCTTCGGCTCAGGTCATGATCCCGGAGTCCCGGGATCGAGTCCCGTATCGGGCTCCCTGCTCAGCAGGGAGTCTGCTTCTCCCTTTGACCCTCCCCCCTCTCATGCTCTCTCTCTCTCTCTCTCTCATTCTCGCTCTCAAATAAATAAAATCTTTAAAAAAAAAAAAGAGCATGCAACTGACTCTTGATCTTGGGGTCATGAGTTTGAGCCCCACATTGGGTATAGAAATTATTTAAAAAAAATAAACTTTAAAAGAAAAAAAGAAGAGAGGCATTTCACTGTATCTGTATCTCACTATTTGTATCTTTCAATTTATACCATGCGAATGTACAATCTATTTTAAAAGTTAATTTTTCTAATGAGCATAATAAGAAAGATTTAAATATAAATAATTAACACTTGGATAAATCTAGGATAATTTGGTATTCTCCATTCTCCAGTTTTTCCTATCAGGTAATTCTTCCCCCCCCTTCACAGCCCCCCCCTCCCCAGAGGGAGAGAGAGAATCTTTTTTTAAAAAAATTTTTTTATTGTTATGTTAGTCATCATATATTACATCATTAGTTTTTTTTAAATTTTTTATTGTTATGTTAATCACCATATATTACATCATTAGTTTTTGATGCAGTGTTCCATGATTCATTGTTTGTTCATAATACATCATTAGTTTTTGATGTAGTGTTCCATGATTCATTGTTTGTGCATAACACCCAGTGCTCCACGCAGAATGTACCCTCTTTAATACCCATCACCAGGCTAACCCATCCCCCCACCCCCCTCCCCTCTAGAACCCTCAGTTTGTTTTTCAGAGTCCATTGTCTCTCATGGTTCGTCTCCCCCTCCGACTTACTCCCCTTCATTCTTCCCCTCCTGCTATCTTCTTCTTTTTCTTTTTTCTTAACATATGTTGCATTATTTGTTTCAGAAGTATAGATCTGTGATTCAACAGTCTTGCACAATTCACAGCGCTCACCATAGCACATACCCTCCCCAATGTCTATCACCCAGCCACCCCATCCCTCCCACCCCCCACCACTCCAGCAACCCTCAATTTGTTTCCTGAGATTAAGAATTCCTCATATCAGTGAGGTCATATGATACATGTCTTTCTCTGATTGACTTATTTCACTCAGCATAACACCCTCCAGTTCCATCCACGTCATTGCAATGGCAAGATCTCATTCCTTTTGATGGCTGCATAATATGCCATTGTGTATATATACCACATCTTCTTTATCCATTCATCTGTCGATGGACATCTTGGCCCTTTCCACAGTTTGGCTATTGTGGACATCGCTGCTATAAACATTGGGGTGCACGTACCCCTTCGGATCCCTACATTTGTATCTTTGGGGTAAATACCCAGTAGTGCAATTGCTGGATCGTAGGGTAGCTCTATTTTCAACTGTTTGAGGAACCTCCATATGGGAGAGAGAATCTTAAGAAACCCGAGTAGAAATTAAGAGTGTACTTGTGGCGCCTGGGCACTGACTCTTGGTTTTAGCTCGGGTCTTGATTTCAGGGTCATGGGATACAGCCCCCCTTGGCTCCATCTTCAGTGCAGAATCTGCTTGAGATTCTCTCTCCCTCTCTCTCTGTCCCCCAACTCCACTCTTGTGTGCTCTCTCTCTCAAAATAAATAAATAAATCTTAAAAAAAAAAAAAAGTCAGACGCCTAACTGAGCCACTCAGGCACCCCAACCTATCAGGTTTTTCTAAATGTAGCAAGATAATAATATTGAGAGAAAATGTTAGGAGTAGATGCAAATATCACACCTTTCATTAGAATATAGTTAGATGTAATATTTGCATTTACTCCTGAAATACTCCTGCATAATATCAACTTGGCTTTGATATTACTTGTGAAGCTGTAAGTAGGTTATTTAACTTTTCTAACAATTTGATAATTTGAAAATTGTGTGTTTGGTTTTTAGCACCTAATCTCTCTCTCTCTCTCTCTCTCTCTCTCTCTCTCTCACACACACACACACACACACACACACACATACATATATACACAGTTCCCTGGTACTTTTTTTTATATAAAGACAAGAAAAGTTTTGGTGTTGTTATGTTAAGGGTTAAGACAAAAAATTTTAAAGGTAGGGAGCTCTTTTCCTGTCCTAAGGTTGTCTGTTATCTGCATATTTGATCTGGAATGAGGTATATTAGTGAAGTGGAAAAACAGTGATGATTGCTAAGCCATTAATAAAAGTTCAGTGGTATGTCAAATCTATAATTTTGAAACAAATTCAACTAATAGCGTCTTGACTTTTCCCCTTCCTCCTACTAAAAACCAGTTGTTTTAGTTCTGGGTTTATGTTTTCTAATTTTCTTTTTCAGTTACCCTGCAGTTTGTGAATTTTTGCAGAACAATAATTTGTTATCAATAATCAGAGCCCACGAAGCCCAGGATGCTGGGTAAGTTATATTAAAACTGTACCAATTATCATTACAGAGTTTTTGCCTTTTATATCAAGACAGACAGACTGTTATCTCTCTTCCAGGTATCGAATGTACAGGAAGAGCCAAACAACAGGCTTTCCATCACTTATTACAATTTTCTCTGCCCCCAATTACCTAGATGTCTATAATAATAAAGGTAAAGGAGTCCAGTGATATTTGAGTTTGAATTTGTGAGTAAATGTGAGCTCTAATTTAATCATATATATGTGTAAGTATATTACATATAAGAAAAGAGGTCTTACTTGAAACAAAGGCCAAGAAACTTAGAATTTAGGCTACTGCTTGGTTTTCATTTCCTAAGGATTATTGGGCTCTTTGTAAATATAAATAATGATCATAATAGGTCTGATGTGTACTCCTGAATCAAAATATAAGAGGAATAGGGGCGCCTGGGTGGCTCAGTTAGTTGAGCGTCTGGCTCTTGGTTTTGGTTCGGGTCATGATTTCATGGGTCGTGGGATTGAGCCCTGAGTCAGGCTCTGTGCTCAGTAGGGACTGTTTGAAGATTCTCTCCCTCTGCCCTGAAATATTCCTGCATAATATCAACTTGGCATTGATATTACTTGTGAAGCTGTAAGTAGGTTATTTAACTTTTCTAACAGTTTGATAATTTGAAGATTGTGTGTTCGGTTTTTAGCACCTAATCTCTCTTTCTCTCTCTCTCTCACACACACACACGCGCGCGCGCGCACACACACACACACACACACACACACTACCGTGGTACTTTTTTTTATATCAAGACAAGAAAAGTTTTGGTGTTGTTATGTTAAGGGTTAAGACAAAAAAATTCTTCCCCCTAACTCCTTCTCTCTCCCTCTCTCTCTAAAATAAATTAAAAAATCTTATATAAGAAGAAGAAATTCAGGTTCAAGATAGAATAGTCATCATAAATTATTACTTTTGGTGAATTTAATTTATTTGTAACAGTACCTCCACTATTTGGAGTTTTAATGTTTATAAATTATTAAGCTGTTTTTGCTTTTCTTGAGGAATGGTACAGGTAGGTGAATACTGTACAAAAAGTCAGAAAAATCCTTTCAGTTCAAGCCCTGTCAGAAACTAAATAGTGTGACTTTAGGCAAGTCACATTATTTTTCTACACCTCAATTTCCCATATAAACAGAGAGGATTAAATGTAAACATGCCTTCAATCCAGAAATTCTCATTCTAAGACTTTATCCTATTGAAAGTTTTATTTTTACATACGCCCAATGTGGGGCTTGAACTCATGACCCTGAGATCAAGAGTTGCATACTCTACTGACTGAGCAAGCCAGGTACCCCCAAATCTTTTTTTTTTTTTAATTTTTTATGATTCATAGTTTGTAAGTTTTGTATTGGGGCAAACTTCCTCTGTAATATCCTCTGTAACATGCCTCTGTAACTATTTTGTTGTTTATAAAGTATGACTATAAAATAATAGAACTTTTATACAAACATGCCAGAACGTATATATCCAAGTGAGTATTGTCCCTTCACAGTAGTTATTGGGAAGCTATATGCTTATTCCAACAATGCTGCCATTGTTCAAAGCGTTTTCGGAACTCCTCTTTTGGCATTGCCTTCAGAGTCTGCGACACATTCTTTTGATTATCCTCAGTGATGGGAAATCTTCGTCCTTTGAGGGTGGATTTGATTTTTGGAACAGCCAAAAGTCATTTGGAGTCAAGACTGGTGAATAAGGTGAGTGATCAAGCTAGATGATACCATTTGGGGTCAGAAACAAGGTATGATTATAGGGTAATGAGACTGGTTTTTCTTGTGTTGCTTATAAAATGGGTCTGGAGGCGATTCCAAAAGAGGAGTTCCAAAAATGTTTTGAGTAATGGCAGCATCTTTGGATTAAATATATGGTAAGGCAGCAAGGTGTATTGAAAAGAGCACTAAGGTAGGAGTCAGAAGAAATTCTAGTCTAGTCCTGCTTCACTTTTAAATTCACAGCTAACATGACACTTAATTTCACATTTAACGAGACACTTAACTTCTCTGAGCCTCGGTGTATCTTTAAAATACCTGTCATATAGGGTTGTTGAAGATAAGTTGGAATACTAAAAATAAACATTAAAAGCATCTGTCAAACTCTAAATTGCTATGATAGTATAACATTTTACTGTTGTTGTGCCTAGTGTGATTACATCAGAGGACCACACTCATCTCATATATAAGGTCTGGTGTGTTTGTAGTTGGTGGTTTTTAAGTCTCATTACTTTATAGTCATACCTTGTATATGCAGCTGGGGAGTCAAGTTTAAAAGAGGTCCACAGTATACTTACTATGTATCCTGTTTAAAGGGAAACTAAGGAATGGCACTTCTCATTTCAATCTGATTTGAATCAGTCATCTCAGTGGCTTACTACACATTTTAAAAAACACTTCTTCGACTTCAGTTCTCTTCCAGCATCTAGTTTTTTTTTACATCTCGTCATTCTTTTCTGAATCTTAGCTACCCCACAACACTCTGCTTCTCCCTAACTCCATTCTTTCTTATTTCCTTCTTAATATTCCCAATATGTCAGAGACTTAGTTTTCTTCTTATTTCTTCCATTATGAATGGTATGTGCTGCTTGTGTTGGCAACTTCTTCAAGGACGCTTCATGGCCCTAGTCCTCTATGTGTGATGAAGACATTCCCTTTCCCCTTGTTCAGGCTCACTAGAAGAGTATCTGTTGATTGCACTGTGGATTTGTCGGTGTGCTCAACTGAAACCTGCCACCCAACACAGCAGTCACTTCACTCATTCACTAAATGCCATCTCGTTTTCTGCCCCATTCTAACCTGGTTTTGATCTTGACTATTCCTTTAGTGAACTTTTAAGTTACAGTCCAGTCTATACCAGAGCTTTCTGTTGACTTTGACATAATTGGTAACTTTATCTTGAAACATTCTTATTTTCCTTGGTTGTTTCTCAAACTTTTTTTGTTTTTTTTGTTTTTTTTTAGGCAAAAGACAGAGTGGTATATGAAATAATGTCTGCTGGTACTCAGTTACTCCCCATCCAAGTACCTCTTTCTTGAAAATGACAACCCTCTCCCCATTTCCTTTTTCTCTTTCTTCTTCTGTTGCTTTTCTTTCTTTCATATTGGTACCAAAGAGTATTTCTTAGTTCCAATGATTATGTGAAAGATCCTTAAGTCATGATTTTTAAAGATTTCTATTCCTATTTTTTGTGTCCACTGGGAACATACCCAAAAGCAATTTTTTATGCTCTCATTTCTAATCATCCAGGGTAAAGAGCCGCCTCTCACTTCTTTTTCCTGTGTAGATTGAGGGAATTGTTAAATAATTGTGTATTCATCTAAATAAAATATATACACATGAAAATAATGGGACATGTATATTATATCCAGTGTTAGGTTTTTAAGAGCAGGAGATCCTACTTTCATGTATTTTCTTTATAATCCATGGTATACATTTTAGATACTCAGTAACTTAAATTTTGAGCACATGAGACTATCCTTTAATAAGCGAAGAAACAGGAACCAGGAAATGACCTGTATCTGTCATTTCTGAAGTACTTCATACCCAAATCTATTTATGATCACAGTAAGACTGAAGAGAATAATGCAAACAACATCGCAGAGCTCGTGCTCATGGTGAAGTCTAAGAAATTGGACTTTCAAACTTTTAAAATATAAAGAAAATTATTTTGGTACCAAAGCACGTATACAAATACATGAACTGGTCAAGTTAAAGATTTTTATGGTGCTAGCAATATACTGACTCTGTATAGGAGAGATGGATTTTTAATCCTCTGTATAATATGCAGAGATGATTTAATCTACTTTTGAGCCGTGTAAATTGCTCCAAGTTTACCATCTGTATCCCCTACTATGAATTGATAATTGCTATGTTATAAACTCCCAGAGAGTTTATAAAATCTTTGGCACTGGATAATGACTAGCAAAAGAGGCTGTGTTTGCTTCATGAAAAATGTTTGCCTTCAAAGGAAAGCTGTAATTGTAACCATTTGGCCTATAAAGGGAAATTATGACAAAATTTTTCTAATGTGGAACCTGAGATTTCTACAGATGGTTACTGCGCAGTGACCCTTTGAAGTTTCAGAGCTTAGTTTCTTTTGTACTTTTATTATATAAGATCTCAGGTAACTTTTTGTTCCTTGGGATAATTCTTAAAAGAATGAACTGTATAAAATGCTTCAAGATTTTCCATCTGCTCTTGAATATCGAGTCGTGAACTTACAAGTGGAAAGTAAGTTCCTGAGTTCTGTTTAGTAGGTATACAGCTATACAAAGCATGCCATTTGCCATGTCATGTTCCTCTGTGCCAGATTTTCCTGCTTTTTCCTTTTTAGCTGCTGTGCTAAAATATGAAAACAATGTCATGAATATCAGGCAGTTTAACTGTTCTCCACACCCCTACTGGCTTCCAAACTTTATGGACGTTTTCACATGGTCTTTGCCATTTGTTGGGGAAAAAGGTAAGAGAAGTGGATGATCAGTTGTCTTAATTAGTGATGGAGCACACTTTAATATTTCATGAGTCCCCTGATGGTTCAGAAATGTTTTTCTTAAAGAATTAAAAAGAATAAAAAATAATAAATAATAAAGTTATCCGAAGTATTTTCTAATTTCTTTGTTCTCTACAAAGATTTTTAAATGGCACTTAATTGGTTTTTTATTTTATTTATTTTATTTTTTAATTTTTTAATTGGTTTTTAAATTATAGTTCTAGTCAATTGTGCGCTTATTGTTGTAAATATCAATTTAAAGCAGCTACCCTACTATGATCAGGATGTTAAAATAACATAAGTCACTAAACCGTTCCTTCAGTGATTTCTTCAGCGATGAAGAGATTTAAATAGGAAATAGTGTCCTGTAAAATTTTATTTGTGCAACTGTACAAACAAGGTATGCAAATATAAAATAAATTTGTTGAGCATAGACCTGATGGCTTAACATCTTTGTAAAATAGGAGGAAATCTTTTCATGTACATATCAGTGAGGAGAAGGCTCTGGACAACAGTCTCATGAAATCAAGTAATTATGCAATAGAATCTTCAAAGACCAGACTTTTACTGAAGCAAGGAATTTCCCCAAATTCTATATAAACCTGAAGGTCTAGATTTAATGCTACTCTTTATTCTTAATAGCATAATGACAAGTCATTTTTGTCTATGTTTATTTAACATGTGTTTACTTAAACATCCACATCATTTTAGAGAGAATACCTTATTAATTGTATACATTTTGGGTTATTTTGTCTTATATAGTCACAGAGATGCTGGTTAACATTCTCAACATATGCTCTGATGATGAATTGATTTCTGATGATGAAATTGAAGGTAAACTTGCCTTTTTCTCATTTGAACTAGAAATGAAGAAGTTTTGGGTTTGGTTTTAGTTTGTTTTGGATAATTTTCTTTGTCTTATTAGAAACGAGTTGTGTTCATTACAGAAAAATAAAATTTGAAAAATACCGGAAACCGTAAATAAGAACAAAAAAGTTACCTGTAAACCTGCCATCTCATAGATATCAACTATTCACATTTTGATGTAATATTGTTACCTGTCTTATATCTTTGCATATATTTCCCCTCTTTTTCCTTTTTAACAAAAATGAGGTCATGTATTAGTATCATAAACATTTATAGTTTTTTAATAGACTAATTTTTAATTTATCTAGTAGTCTTGATTGATGATTTTTGTTTTAATCAATCTGCTGTTGGATATTGGATTTTTTCTAACTTTTTTGTTTTAAAACCCTACAGTTTAAAAATTCTTATAGATAAATCTTTACACATTCTGTCAACAACCAGTATTTATTACATGACTAATATATAGCAAGTACTATTTACATCCTTGCATGCAATAAACTTACATTCTAGGGGAGAGAAGACGATAAATAAGTACAAGTCAGATGTTGATATATGGTATGAAAGAAAGGGAAGCAATATTAGGAAATTGAGAATAACATATTCTTGATTATTTTCATAGGATAAATTTCTAGAAATTGAGTATCTGTGTCATTTAGTACTTACAATTTTAAATCAGATACAGATAACCTCTAGATTCCAGATTCCATTTTGTGTGTGTGATGCATAGTTCATAGTGCACTGTCCAATACTGTTTACTATCATTTTTATAGTCTGGTGTTTTTAAAATTTTAATTTGTATTTTTATGATGACTAATGAACATTTTTTTTTTTATTGACCACATGTGAATTGTCAATTCATACCTTTTGCCCATTTTCCTACTGGGTTATGTGCATGTTTGTTTGTTTTTTGCTTTTCTTATTGGCCTGTGAGGGATCTTTATATAGTAACATTTTGTTATATATGTAGCCAAGTATTTTTTTCCTAGTGTATTGTGGGCAGTTTGATTTTATTTATTTATTTTTTAAAGATTTTATTTATTTATTCATGAGAGACAGAGAGAGGCAGAGGCAGAGGGAGAAGCAGGCAGTTTGATTTTAAAGATAAGTCCTAACTTATCTGAGAATGCAGAAGATTCTGGAAAGATGGTGACACCTGAGTTCAAACCTCTGGTTGTCTCATTGTCCAGGCTCTGTGCTGAAGTGATTCATTCAACTGTTAGGATAAACCATCTACATAGTGGAAAAAGCCTAGTTTACTTTGGGCAGATAGAGGGGATTCCAAAACATAGTTAGGTTGTAGATTCCACATTGAAGGTGAAGAGCAGATGGAGCATAGCTTGTGAGTATCTTTACGTATGAGGTAGCAGAACGTTATAAGGAACTGGTTCTTTTTGAGGAAATAATTCAGGCAAGAGAAAATTCAAACAAAATAAAGAATTTAAGTTGGGGAAGATGAAATATATAAGAAATAGATCTAGTAGGATTTATATTCAAATCTAGGTGGATTTGGAAATTGTGAACTCTATTTTATGTACTAAGAAAGGATTCTTAATTACCATAAAGATATGCTTACAAAATTATGCCAAAAATTGTATATGGGAATATATATTAAAGTATTGTCATAATATCAACAGAATCAGAACAATCAGAACAAATGTCCCTCAGTGGAGAGGTGGATAAATCAGTTATGACATATCCATTTGATAGATTCTCTACATAGAATATTATTTTCCTTATGCAAGCCTCCTTTTCCCCTTCTCTTCTAGTTAGCTCTTGTTCCGCTTATTGTAACATCCTCATGGAAGACATTTCTGACCTCCCTGACTAGATCCAGTACCCCTGTCATGCTGTCTCATATCACCATGTACCTCTCCTTAGCATTTGATAGAATTGTAATTTTGCATTTATTTATATTATTATAAGAGTAATATATTTTACTCCCATTCAACTGTAGACTCCCCAAGTGCTAGGACACTGTTTTTGCTCACCAAAATAGCCCTAAAGCCAAGTATAGTGTAGTGAGCATGATAAGTAAATATTTGTTGAGTTAGATTGAGTGGTATTACATACAACTATTAAAAAACGAATGGATTAGAGCTATCAGTGCTAATATGGAAAATGTACTAGATATTCTGTTAAGTGCAAAAGTAAATGAATAGAATCTTCTCATTTCCATTTTTTACAGGGTGTGTAGATATAAGCTGATACATGCTTTTTAATTTTTTTCTGAAAGGAAATGAAAAATAACTTTTTGGGTTATGATGCTGAATTGAACATACTTCTAATTCTATTCCTTTCTGAAACTACACTAAAAACACAATACAATTTTGGTTTTATTTAAGTGATATAAACTAAGGATTTCCACTTTAGTAATGCCACACTAGATAGTTTAAATCAACCCTGACTTAAGATAACTGTAAAAACTAGACACAATATTCTAAAATTTGCTTTAGAGGCATTTAGAAAGTTAACAAAGTAAAATAATTACCAAGTTGAGATCTGGAAGAAAGGCATAAATCCAGAGAGGTAAAACCAAAATTTGGGACTATTTCTCTCCTAGAGATATTCATGAATTTCAAAAGAAGAAACTAAGATGTTGAGCAGCCATCTTGATAGAAGATAAAAAGTTAGGGCTTGGGGTGCCTGGATGGCTCAGTTGGTTGGGCGTCCAACTCTTGATTTCAGCTCAGGTCTTGATCTCGGGGTTGTGAGTTCAAGCCACGTGTTGGGTTCCATGCTGCGCGTGGAGCCTACTTAAAAAAAAAAAAAAACTAGGGCTCATGGCTTGCCAAGGATGATGTGAGGGCTGGTAAGTTTCTCCTCATTGGTTGGGGACTCCAGAACATTGCATCTATGTAAGAGTAAGGGTAAACTGGAAATAGAACAGCCCTGAAAGGCACTACAGCCTACCTTCAGATCATTTCAATCCATGAAATTTGAATAAAGTAGCCCTAGGCACCTGGCAAAAGCAAACTTCTCTATACTAAGGTAACATCGTGTAGGACTTTAAATTACTACAAATAATCTTTCAAATATATAATATGTGACTCACAACCAAAAATAACTAGGCATATGAGGAGATATAACAACATGAATGAGAACCAGCAGAAACAGCAAAAAATAAAAACAGATACCAGGTTCTCCAGACATTGGCTTTATCAGACTGAACTTTAAAATAACTGTGCTAAGGGCGCCTGGGTGGCTCAGTCATTAAGCGTCTGTCTTCGGCTCAGGTCATGATCCCAGAGTCCTGGGATTGAGCCCCGCATTGGGCTCCCTGCTCGGCAGGAAGCCTGCTTCTCCCTCTCCTGCTCCCCCTGCTTGTGTTCCTGCTCTCGCTGTGTCTCTGTCTCTATCAAATAAATAAATAAAATTTTTTAAAAAAATAAAAAATAGGGCGCCTGGGTGGCTCAGTCGTTAAGCGTCTGCCTTCGGCTCAGGTCATGATCCTAGGGTCCTGGGATCGAGTCCCACATCAGGCTCCCTGCTCGGCAGGAGACCTGCTTCTCCCTCTCCCACTCCCCCTGCTTGTGTTCCTGCTCTCGCTGTGTCTCTCTCTGTCAAATAAATAAATAAAATCTTAAAAATAAATAAATAAATAAATAAATAAATAGCTGTGCTAAAAACCAAAGCAAAACAATACTTACTATGTTCAAGAACATAAAAAACTAGGTTGAAAATTTTGGCAGAAAATTGTGAATTATAAAAGCAGAGTTGATAAAGCATCGAAAGAAGATGCTAGGAATGAAAAGTAAAATAAATTTTTAAATTTTGAAAGATGAATTAACAGATTCAGTAAAGCTAAACAAAGAATAAATGAACTAGACAATAGGTCAGAAAAAAACAATCTAGAATGAATCATGAAAAGAAAAAATAAAAGACCAAAAAAGGCCTAGGAGACAGAGGATACAGTGAGTAGGCTTATCATCTGTGTGTGTGGAGTCCCAGAGAAGAGATAGAAGGGTAGAATCATTATTTGAGGAGATAATGGATAAAAATTTTCTAAGATTGACAAGACATTAAGCCACAGATTGAAGAAGCTCTGTAAACCAATGCAGAATGAATACAAAGAAAATAACACCTGAGTACATCATAGTAAAAGTACTTCAGATGACAAAGAAAAAAAAAACAGAAAAAAAGATTAATTTCAAAAGAGACCAATTAAACTGACAGTAGAAGCAAGAAAAATGGAATAACATATTCAAAGCACTGAAAGATAATAACTGGTAACCTAGAGTTCTATACCCAGCAGGAATGCCTTTCAAGAGTGAAGAGAAAATAAGCATTTTTCAGATACCGATCCCTTAAAAAATATACTTAGGGAATTACCAAAAGACCCACTAAGTGAAATTTTATTTTATTTTAAAGATTTTATTTATTTATTAGAGAGAGAGAGAGAGAGAGCACACAAGTAGGGGGAGTAGCAGGCAGAGGGAGAGGGAGAAGCAGGCTCTCCACTGAGCAGGGAGCCTGATGTGGAGCTCGATCCCAGGACCCTGGGATCATGACCTGAGCCAAAGGCAGATGCTTAACTGACTGAACCACCCAGGCGCCCCTTAATAAAAAAATAATATTCAAGCAGAAGGAAAATACCAGATGGAAACTTGGAGATTCAAAAAGAAATAAAAAGTAAAAATAGTAGAAAATATGTGGGTAAATCAAATGAATGTAAACTGTATTACACAACAATAATAATGTTTTATTAGGTTTAAAAGACAGAATTAAAACATAAGACAATAATAATTGGCAGTGGGATAGAGATAAAGTATGTGAGGGCTGCATTATCTGGGAAGAAGGGGAAAGTAACTCTTAGCATTATACTGGGTGGGGGGTGTGCCTCACTGGCTCAGTTGGAAGAGCATGTGACTCTTGATCTTGGGGTTATAAGTTGAAGCACCAGGTTGGGTGTAGCGATTACTTAAGTAAATAAATAAACTTAAAAAAAAAAGGGAAAAAAACCAATATTA